GAGACAAATCGGTTATGCTAGTTAGTCTTAAAAAAAATTTGTTAGCGTTTTATTTTTCGTTGTGACATTGATAATACAGTCAAAAACCTGGTATGAGTAGTGAACGGAGAGAATGGTAGTATAAATTACAATAATCAAGTAGAGTCGACCTTTACGGTTTTTACATCAATTTACCGTAAGTGTTGGCATTGACTAAATGCACTAGTTTGCAAGTGAAATGTATTATAATATTAAATCAATTTAATAGCGTATCCATCGTTGATTCTGCATATACAATTAATCTAAAAATCGCACCGTGCGTAGAATCACGTTCTGTGGTCACATAGAACAAATTTGATTTTATTGTCGAAAAGTCTTAATTATTGTCGACGCTTTCAGATAACATTTTATTTTTTTTCGTCTGACTTATAGATTCAGAATAGAACAAAGTTCTATCTGATTTGTGCTCCGCAATACAAGGACATATGTACGTTTAGACACTGTTACTGACTAGACTAAACTTACTATTTTACTGACTAGACTAAGCTTACTAATGTAATATATGATATTTATTGCACAGTCACCCACTTTTTTATGGATTTTTTGTTGAAAAACGTGCTACTTGCGTTTATGTCATACATATTTTCTGGGTTTTTAGTAGAACAACGTTATAAATGAACGTATGATCTATTATTTTTGGGATGTTCCGTTGAACAACTTTATATAAACGTGTATTAATTAACTTGTGACCGTAGGAAAACGTCACTACTACACATGAAACCTCTTATTTCCTAAATGTATATAATTATTTATTCAAACAGTATAACTCTTTGTTTTTGCATGCTGGAAAGGATATAACAATAGATGTGCCAAGCATTGCTTCAAATGCTAAGAAAACAATGTAGAAAAAGACGTTAAGATTTTCGTCGGTGCGGTAATCAGCCGTTTAGGTCAGTGGCTAGAGCGTCAGGCCGCGAATGCCGAAGACGTGGGTTCGATTCCCACAGCAGCGACAGTCTTTTCGCACTTTTTCTACATATTTTAACTTACTCTATGTTCAAATTTCTTATTATTTTAAAACAAAATCCCTCACGATGTTAGTACGCTCTGGTCTTTTGAACTACGCAACGAATTTTAATTATATGCATATTATAGAGAAAAGCCGAAATATCTATATTGCACCCGTGCGAAGCCGGGGTGGGTCGCTAGTACTTAAACTATTGAACGTAAATAGTTTCGTATAATTTCTGTGCCATTGGCAGAATTTGAACGTTGACGAGGTCAAAGTCATTAAATGAAATGATTGGCCTTGAGCTGAAAAGATCTGGGCTATAAGTACAGCCTAGTAAGTATAGCCTGACTATAAATACAGCCGTTTTTAAGTTTACTGTCCATTTTTGGAAATATAATTGTAAGCAACTTTCGACAGTGGTGTTCGAATCAAACCGAAAATAAGAAATATTTATGTTACTTTATCTCTTGGTTACTTTTACGTAAGAGAACGGCAAGCGAGCTGTCGGTTCACTCGATGTTATGCGATAACCGGCGCCCATGGACATTTACAACAACCGTGGGGTTACAAATTGCGTTGCCACCTTTCAATAAAGTGGGCCCCGGTAATCTTTCTCACCAGGCAAAATGCAGAAGTATAACACTTCCACTTCACGCAGAAGACCGTCACGAGAACCATCACCGTGATTCTGTGAAGTCATGGCACAGTATAAAGAGTGGAAAGATTCTTCTTCTTACCGCAAAATTTTACTTTAGTAACCATTAAGTTACTCGCAGATTGGATGTCAAAAATACAATTCGACGCTGGGTTCAAACCTCAATGGTGCACCAATACAAACAGCAAATGGTTTATCAGGTCTAATAGGTCTGGGAAGGACACTGTTACTGTTACTTACGAGATAGAAGCGTGTTCCTCATGTCGATCTATAACTAAGCCAGTTGAAGACTGTATTTTCCAATAGGGCTACCAAAGCATGGACAAAAACAATTTTGCCTTTAAGAATATTAAGTGAGATGCTCTATACGTTTTCCTGTTTATATAATTGGTGAACGCCGTGCAATAGGTCAGTGTTCGGGTCAATTGAGTCAGATTAATTCACAATCTAGCAACCTCAATGCTTATGTCGACCTTTTTTTTTTTGGGCTGGATGAGCCACTGTTGGCCTTAGGGGCCTTTACAGTTCCGACGGACTTGAGGTGGCCTGGCGCACGAGGCGCCTAGCCTGAATCTCTGCGTACTATTATTACGCGTTATGGTGACTAGGCTCTCTAGCTCGAGGGCTCCCGGGGGAGCCTCGACTCGGGCCGTCACGCTATTATTATTACCGGTTTGGGAGGCTGCCAAGCTCTTAGGGCGCTTTGGCGGGCGCTCCATGGAGTGATCAGGCTCAAGGGTCCCCGAGAGGGGACCTCGGCTTGGGCTGTCACTCAGCACGCGTTTAGCATTCCGATTCGAGGGTGCCCGAGAGGGCCGGACCTCGGCTCGATCGGTAGCTATTATCTGACTGGATATGGTATGGTAGTTAACTGATATAATAATATGATTAGCACTGCCCATGGAATAGTAAAATTTATTTAATTTCGAATTTTTTTTCTGACAATTTTTAGGTACTATTAGGTTATATTTTTTTATAATATGTATTAGAACCTTGCTTTAGAAACGGCGTCCTAATCACTTGTTGTGTAATAGCAGTTTTCTCAAAGCAAAACTGGTTTGCAACGCAGTTCAGAGATCTTTGCTCATAAGCGACTAATTTAGTTACAAAATGTTGCGACGTTTGTTAGTAATCAATAACTATTTATTAAACTATACAATAAAGTTCTGTTGGACGGAATTTATTTCCCTTAGTGTTAGTATAGAAAAATTGGACCGTGTGTTTTATTAAGAATTGCTTTATAAGTAAATTATATTAAAATTTATACATTTATTAATAGAAAATTAATTTCTCTAAAAAAAATCTCTTTCCTCGACGATCTTGTTAAATTAATTATTGATACACATTATCTATGTATTATATGACGGTATTTTTGTAATGGACATCCGGTAAAAATTAATCGACATGATTATTTAGATCAGTAGGGACAATATTATCGTTATCATTGATATATGCAACTACACTATGAAATCGGCAAATATCGTGCAATAGTGACACATCGAAAAAATGAGAATTTCAACGAGCCAAAGTAAACGCTGGAAGCCCTGACCCACAAAAACACTTGGCTCGCACCGTATAAGGCTGCGATCTTTTTGACTTGAATCACGTGTCCCCATCAGATTTAACATAATATTTGTGTATCATCTTGCGACCAAACACACTTATAAACTACTATTCCTGTAATATATATTATTAATACGTGAAACAAAAACTTTGTACATCTTTTTACGAAAATTGCGCGGACGGAGGAGTGTGAATTTTCCCACACTTATAGTTTATATAGAAATGTAGTGCAGAATGGAGTGCTATTTTTTTTAATTATGCATAAAAATACATTAAATAAAAAAAAAAACATTACACACACTACCAAGTATAATTAATTATGGTCGAATTTCGACCACAGGGCGACCACTAGTTCTTATAGATGTACAGAGAAATTGAGTGGTTTTCTTTACGTATATACGCGACAGATGGTAATGTGTTATATAAGCCTATGCGTGTATATTTTTTCCTTTGTAGTGCTCTAGAGACCGAACGCTTGGGTCTATTTTGATGATTTTTATGAATCCTTACTAATATACTACGGTGGTATGGCTACGCAGCAGCCTCGGCTGTTGCCCGAATGGGCAGGCCCGTCCGGGTAAGTACCACGACCTGCGTAAAGTGGAAGTATGACAAATACTTTCGCGTTTCGTCTGGTGAGTGAGGTAGCCGGAGCCCAATTTTCAAAAGGTTGTCAACGCATCTGTAACCCTCGGGTGTAGCAGATGTCCATGAGCGGCGGTATTCACTTACCATCAGGTGAACCTTCTGCTCGTTTGGCAACTTTTCACTTAAAAAAAAGTAATATATAAATTAACCAATAAATATGTTCCTTATGCGAGAACGCGACATGATGTTTATTGCTACCTTCCGCCCATGGAGATCTGTAACAGCCGTCTAGTTTGAACTCACTCACCGTGTAAATAATAGAAATATAACATTCACGCCTGCTTTCTAGTAGTCCGTGGTACTTCGAGACGAGCCTGCCCATTCTGACAATATCAGACAACTGATAGGTCAAAGGCGAGATTTTGAGATTGATAAATAATTTTGTAATTAAAAGTGCGAGTATTCTCGTATAGTATTCAGATGATTGATATTATGTCGGAAATGCAAATTGTTTTTATTACAGTAATAAAGCTATAATGTCAAGAAAGTTCCATAGTTGGAAAAAAAATATAGAGCAATTGACTCCGTTGTTCCAATCCAAATGGTGGGAAAGTGCTTAATCCATTACATAAATATATATTCGGAACTTTGAAATACATATGATTTTTTTATATAATTTGGTAGATTTGTGTTATTGTTTAATCGATCAGTGTTTAGTGTTAATTAAAATAAGAAAAAATCGTATTGATGTGACTCGCGGTGACGCCGTTGCTAAGGTATGGGCTTCAGCGTCGGGGGTCGTGGGTTCGATTCACACACGGGACAAATATTTGTGTGACCCATATTAATTGTTCCGGATCTGGGTGTTTGTTTCCCAAGAAGGATTGACGTCAGGCAGGCGGCCGGTCGTAAAAACATACTGCCAATAATTCTTACAGCATGTGATTCACACATTGTGCCGAGCCTATATAGGTTGCCTAAGTGCATGATGCCTAAGAGATGATGAGGATTTTAAAATACTATACTGTTAATTTGAATTTTATTATGTGATTTTATCTTTCTGTTTTGTGTAATAATAGTAAACTGGTGTTCGCCAAGAGGTCAAATTTAGACCACAATCATTGAAAATGTGATGAAAATATATTGTTTCATTAATAATTTTTTTTCTCTTTATTAATTCATTGCATAACTGAGAACTTATAGATGTTCTTACAGTACAAAAGAGCTCAATACAATAATAAAGGTATAATTTCAAAATATTTTTATTGTTAAGAGAAACAGAGAAGAAAAAGGTACTGAACTGTTTAGCATTTATCTAATTAGCATCATCATCATTTCAGCCTTATTTTCGTCCACTGCTGAACGATGGCCTCCCAGCAATTTTATATAAGTATATAGTTTGCTAGCCGACAACTTGTTGTTTAATAAAAACTGCACAGAAGTAGTACAACCGTTAAGTGGTACGGAAGAGAGTAGAAGAGAGTGAGGTTTATACAATTTAATACGAAAATTTATTTTCATTTAAAAGATTTTCGTAGACTTCTCTTTGGTGTCTATTGCACTGTACTTTAAGCAGACAAGAATAGATTTCATTGTATTAAAAATTACGATGAAGTATGTAGTTGCGCCATATAAAGTATGTTGTCATTTTGTCACCTATATTGAGTGTGTCTGAGACATGTCCCTCATACAGAGTGTTTGAATTTCAATGAAGCGTTGCATTTTAATCCTTATGTCTTAGGTGTTATTGTTTAATTTGATATGGAAAGATATATTGCAAAAGATAAAAATAAATTATTGCTAAGTTGTTTCATTATTAGGGTTAAAATTTTTATAAGGTCTCACTTTAAAATATGTAGAAAAAGGTAGGTCTCACTTATTTAATTGAAGTGTTAATAAAATATAATGAATATATTTTAATTGTCTAAAATATGCTTTAATTATTTAATTTTTACCAATCAAATGTCTTTTGTATTTCGAGAAGCGTTCTTTAATTTTTTGGTTCGTGATATTCAGGTTGATAGAATATGGATCTCTAGTTTTTGTAACATATTTATAAAATTTTTAAAGCCAGGTCGGAACAATGTCAATTTAAAAAAAAACTTGGTAATACCGATGGCCCAGGCACCAAATAACATACATATTGTGTATTAGAGAAACATCACGTAACAAATTTCACTTTACACTTATTAGCATAATCTTCGTATAGTAATAGTACATAACGCGCTTTAACTTTCTCCGTTGATTTACATTTGCAAAAATTTCATTTATCTATGGCTTTAAACTTGTAAGATTTATGAAAGGTGTCTATTCTATATTTTATGCATATAGGGAGGTACGCGTATAGAGAGGGAATGCTGTATCTTGAGTGCGGAAGCTTTTGTAATAATTATTATAAGAGTTATTTTCATTTGATACTGTATTAGACCTTTTTTATTAAATTAACTTACAATACTTGATAACTAAGTTTATTATATTATGAGCATATTATATTATATCAAATATATAAAATGTAAAATTAATGGTATTATATTAATAATTTTAAGGGAAGATTTAACGATAAAGTACAATTAAAAAGAGATTTACAAATTATTCACTTGATATTTCCCGTTGCCAAAATTACATTTTAATTTAATAGAAAACTTTACTCCCCGTTATTTTCATCCCAAATATGCATTTTCGATTTTGATTTTTTTTTAATAAGAGACAATAGCAGACGAGCAAAAGGTCTACCAAACAATAAGTGATTACTGTCATAGATAATCATCAGAAACAACACAAAACATAAAATTATATATGCTTATATTTTCCCGTGTACTTCTGCGAGGTCATGGGACTCCCCAGGCACAGCTGGCTACAACAGCAGATGTTGCTGCGTGATATTACCAGTGTTCAGCTATCGTTATTTGTAATTAGCCTTGTATTGGCGAAAATTTAAAAACTTACTGTCTTAATATGAGCACCGAAAAACAATTGAAACTCATTACGATTCTTTTGACGCGATTACGCCACTGAAGCCTACAATGCCTATTGTGCATTGCCGATATGCTGATGTGCTGCGTGAGGAAAAAAAGCAATAAAATCATCGTGCCTAGTCAGACGAAAGCTTGCGCAAATCGTAATCAAATCGGGTTTTTACGTGATCAATACTCCGTTAGATCAATACTGGAGGGCTTCGTTTGGCCGATTTCTTTTGGTCGAAAACGGTCGTTTGATGGTGGATATCTGAACTAATGAGTTATACTTTGGGTTACCAGTAGATATCCTTAAGTATACATTTAGATTTGTAATATTGTGTTTTAGGGTTCCGTACCTAAAGGGTAAAAGGGAACCCTGTTACTAAGACTCCGCTGTCTGTCTGTCTGTCCGTTTCTCATCAGGCTGTATCTCAAGAACCGTGATACCGTCAAGGTCGTCACTTTAACAAGAAATACTAAAAAACAGAATAAAAAATATTTAAGTGGGGCTCCCATACAACATGACTTTTTGCCGTTTTCGATAATGGTATGAAACCCTTAATGCACTTTTAAGAATCCGACTCCCGCTTGACCTGTTTTTTTCAGGTGAATTCTTTTTAGCACCTTTTGTCTTTTAGTTTTTAAAACTTTCTTCTTCAGAATTACAAGTAATATAAATTGACTCAATACATTTATTTTTGTTTTTCTACAAAACGACTTAATCTATTCAAGATACAATTCATTATTAAAAAACTTATAAGGAGGATATCTCTTTGATATCTTACTTTTTTAATAATAATTGCAATTTTTATATTCTGTAAAATTTCAATTTTTTTTTATTTATATATATATTAGTGAGAAAGTGGAATACAAGCTTGCGGTTCACCTGATGTTAAGTGATAACCGAGCTGTGATAGCTCAGTGTCCAGACGCTCGCCTTTAATGTACGCCTCAATATACTCGAGCAACCCGAGTTCGATCTCCGGTGCCGGCACCTTGTTAATTTTAAGTGCTGATATATCACGTGCTCAGCGGTGAAGAAAAATATTATGAGGAAACGTGCATATTTTCGAAATTAAAATAAAAAAAATATTTCGAAGATATGTGAAGTCCGCCAATCCGCAGTGGGGACGCGTGGTGTACTATGTCCTGATGCCTTTGTCCAGCAGTGAGACATGTATAGGCCGAATTTAAGTGATAACCGTCGCCCATTGACATTTTCGACACTCATAAGGTGCAGATGCGTTGCCACCTTTTAATAAAGTGGGCCCCGGCTACCTCACTCAACAGACTTAACGCAGAACTATAATACTATCCTACATTATTTGTTATTGTTATTCTTGTATCAGAGTCTGTGGAAAGAAATAACTGACCACTGCCTAGTATTTTCTTTTGACTCCTATCCCAGGAGATAGACATTAGCGACGTAGACTAAGAAGGTCAACGCACTAATTAAGTTATTTTCAAATAAACTCTTGCCATGGGGATACTCACATTGTATTCAGGTGTAAAATCAAAAGCTTGCAGACTGTTACACCTTTTTACATTACAAACGACATTGATAAAAAAGAAATTAAAAGATGCGGTGAAGCTATGACCCCAATAATGACGTTTCCATTATTCATCGCTACCAAGATGTGTCGTAAATTTCATTTGAATAATACATGCACCGAACATCTGTGGGTATCAATAACGCTGTCGCATAATGCAAATCAATCTCTTTGCACATTATACAATCATGAAAGAAAATAATTTATTGATTCATTTGTTTGGCACTAATATAAGTAAAACTTATTTTGCCTTTTCGCTTTTTTGACAGGTTACCCTAAGCCTTATTTTGAGATTTTTTATAAGACAACAAGAAAACTTTTAAACATTGTTTCTTTTTGCTTCCAGGTGCGTGCTCTGTTATTATACCGGAGGAGTTACCTTCGCTGCTATCTGTCGCATATTCAAATATTCCTCCAATCAAAAAAGGTAATTACCAGTTTAAGGTTTTTAGCTACATTACTTTGAATCGAACATTCAAATACATTCTCTTAGAAATAGAAACGATAATTGATTTTTTAAAAAGATCTCAGTGGCCAGCAAGCCAAACCACGTAGAGTTTAATTACAGTTCTAAGTAACGATACGATCGCTATTATTTCGGGTACAACTTCCGCACTCTGCAACGGCTCACGAGAAAGTCCCCCGAACACTTTTTTTTTTTTTTTGCGCTGGATGAGCCACTGTTGGCCTTAGGGGCCTTTACAGTTCCGACGGACTTGAACTGAACCTCGGCGCCCCCCGAACACGGCGAGCACTGTTACTTATACAGACCGTTGCAGTGTGCTTCTACCCTCCTATCTTCCAACAATACCTTATATACCAAAAATTTGTCGGAGTGTAGTATAGAGCTTCTTAGAGCAGACTCTTTGGGGGAAGTACCGCGGTCTCATAGAAGACCACCGTAAAATTGGAGTATTTTATATATAATTTTGTCTATAGAGATAACTGAGCTACGCCTTTGATGGTATGTATTTTCACGGTTATTGCAGATTTCCAGGGGCGGTTGAAATTGCTCAACGTTAGGTGAACCACCTACGCTCTTGCATTCTCCTCAATCAAAGAAAGGAGTTAGATTTAACATATGTCTTGTGAATATATATCCGACGAATGTAGTTATAAAAGATTGTTATATCGTCAGCTGTTATTATCCGTAACAATGGAATATCGCGCCTAGAAATTTAGAAAGCTTTGAGAAGCCAAAAGTTTACCGCTGCCACCGTAACCGAAGATATTAGCTATATTAATAAAAATCGATAACTAGATAGGTATCGATTTTTATAAGCAAATATTAATTACGTAACTTGGTGTATTTCGTCTTAACGTGCGGACGGAATGTTAGAAATAGAGATAGCATCATTAACACTAACGATATCATTAATTGGGTAAATTACTATTTCATTATTTTATTTTTATTTTTTATTTTATTGTTGTAACAAAATCCACAGCACTTTTTTAAATATATATAAATATTATTACTAAAACTTAAAGCCAATTTGGATTTACATTATTCTGCTAAATTATTTAACTTAGACATTATTATTATAAAATTGACATGCGAGCAAAGCAGTGGAGGAGTAACCTTGTGAATAAAGTAGTGAGAGTAAATATTATATATAATAATATATATTATATTTTCTTGTTAAAATTTTCAGGTACTGATTCTCGCGTGGGCTTCGGTTTTGCGTTCGGCAACCATGCAGACTTCCAGGTCATGTTCGAGCTTGGGCCACAGACCAACACCATGAATCTAAGTAAGAAGCGTTGCATTTCATTTTTTATGTGTATTGTATTTAATTCCTTTTTTCTGTTACACACTCACTGAATGTGTAACAATCGTTGGTGAAGTATATTTACATTGAATTTGCATATCGCTCACGAAATGTTACTCTTTTGGTATTATCAATTTTGTGCTTATATTAACGGAATTTATAGTGAATTCTAGTGAGTTCTAAGAATATACAAAGCTTCAACTAATACCAAACTCTTGCAAAAGCTAGCGTCCAGGAGATATATGGAATCGCTTTGCACAAAATTATTAATCCAACACTACTTATTGCTAAATTAACTTAGACAGGTGATCAAAACTTCCTATGTATCTTATGAAAGTCGGATTCATTAATTTAATTTTTCTTTTCAGAAATTATCATAATTAATAAATAACTTTCATACAGTGATGCATCCAAAAACACAGATATCAATAGATATTTCATTTGTGAAAAGGTGACTGAGCAACAGACGTTTCACCTGATGATCACCTGGGTTGCAGATTCGTTGCCAACCTAAAGTGTGCCCCGGTTACCTCACTCAGCCAATAAAACGCGAAAGTATAATGCTTCCACTTCACGCTGGTCTTCCGTGGGATCGAGGTACTTCCCCGGACGAGCCTGCCCAAATCAAATCAAATGCGTGGCACGTCGTACGTTCCTGTTTATAAAAATAAATGATAATTTTTTTTTCAGCGGGACAGCCTTTTCCCACGAACAATAAACGGCAGGCGCCACCGTTGCCTTCCCAAAAAATAAACAAGAATAGAGAAAAGGTAAATCTAATAAAGGTTATGTTATACAATTCATAACTCTAAGGAAAACGTCTTGGGGTAACTGTGTTACTTTAGAAGGCAAATACTTCAGAGATATGCAGCAAAAATAATTATTACTGTAAATTTACATAATATTAACAGCGATGAGAATTTTGCTATCACCGATAATCGCCTCGTACTGCGACGTCTCTATCATTAACTTTTTGTCTAACAAAAATAGTATTATATTAATTTATACTCTACACGTGTTAGATGTTATCTAACATTTGATCATGTTCAGGAAGGTTGTTGGCCGCTTTGGACCATTATAATTTATTATTCGTAACATATTAATTATAAACATGTCATTTCAGTTCCTCCAAACGGACGCAGGGAAATACCTTCAAGGTTGGGCGCAGAAGATGAAAAATCCACAAAAGGGATTGCATAAAATATTCGAAAATAGACCAGGAGAGGTTCCTAATCTAGAAGATTCCATGGTAGAGTTGGTAAAGAACGACAAAGGGGAGTATGAAATACACCAACCGCGGCCGGGGAATATGCCTCAACATGTCTTGGACAAACTGAAAAGATTATACGGACAGAAGAGAGAGGAAGCGCAGAAGTTGAGTGAGCAGAAGAGAACTGACGAAGAGGTGCGGAAAATTACTGAAGATTTGTCTAACGTCGATTTGGATTGAGAAAATAAAATAGTAATTCAAATGAAGTGTTTTATTAAAAAAAAAGGCCAAATAAAATGTTTTATAGGAAGGAATATAAAGAAAATTCAAATAATTTGATATGTTTATGCTATGCAATCTGATGATATCATGATTATGGTGTCATTCAAAATCTATTTATTATGTACTCAAATCCTATGAAGTGATTGTTTAGAACATTTTTGTAAGATATTTGAAATTAGTGGCAAGGTAAAAGCAAAATTATTAGAGATCAAAAAGCGAAAACACGTACCTATAGTGGACAATGGACATTAAACGTTAGAAGATTTAATCACATTTAGGAACGTTGTACAACATCCTAGCTAAAGCGCCTGTTATATAGGTGTAGCAATTTTAACACAGTGAACATTTAGCTACTGTGTACTGTATTGCAATAAAAAAAATTATAGTTTTTTTTAAAATAAAAATACTCTTTTTTGGGAAATCCATAAATGACCAGAGGATTTGTAAGCTCGTAGCCGGGTAGTAAAAGGCTCTCTTCGTGAAGGCGCCTCAGTTCGAAAATAAAAATCCGCTAAGTTTGAATGTAATAGCGCAAGACAGAATATTTTCTTGAAAAGCGCATCTTGGCAATGGCAGTGGTGAGATAAAGAAGTTGCGATATGGCGGTGTCTTGCGACTATTTGAGATTATAAATGTGAGATATAAGACTATGAGTTTTTAGTGTCTTTTTTATTTATTAATACTAGACAAGAATTCAAATAAGTAGAAATCAGAGTACAATAACAAAAAAATTGTAGATCGAGCCAGGGCTTTATTGACTTTGCAAGGTTCACGGACGATTTTGACGGAAGGCTTTGATCTTCACCTTTAACGGATTTTGAATTGATTGAAGGATTAGAACGAAGTAGTCTCATATTTCTGTAAAACAGTGAGGGAAGTAGCAAAGGTTCATCCTTCCATAAAGCGTGCTCATGCCACCAAGAGGGTTTTAGTGAACAAGAACTCTATATATCTTCGAAACAAGGGAACTTTGAAGATTATGTATCTATTTAAATAATGCATATATTTAAATTTGTAGAAAAAAGGACGAAAAGTTTTTCGCCGCTGCGGGAATCGAGACTATGTCTTCCGGATTCGCGCCCAGACGCTTTAACTACTAAGCTAAATTTTATATTATTATTATTATTATTAACTACTAAGATAAATGGTTGATAGCCACACCGACGTAAATCTCAACGTCTTTTATCTACATTTTTTAACGGTGGTAGGGCCACGCAGCAGCCTCGGCTATTGTACGAATGGGCAGGCCCGTCCGGATAAGTACCACGACCTCACAAAGGACCAGCGTAAAGTAGAAGTATGATACTTCCGCGTTTCGTATGGTGAGTGAGGTAGCCGGAGCCCAATTTTCAAAAGGTGGTTAACGCATCTGTAAACCCTCAGATGTAGCAGATGTCCATGGGCGGAGGTATTCACTTAACATCAGGTGAACCGTCTGTTCGCTTGGCAACGTTTCAAATAAAAAAAATCGTATAAATGAGTTATGTAGTCAACTAAGAATATGAGATACGTTCCCACCACCTCGTAAAGTTCATAGAAACTTGAGAAAAAACAAGTTATGAACTTACGCAATAAACGAGCAGGTGTTTGTAGTGTTGATTATTGTGGATTTTATGCGTTCGTATTTAATTTAATTATTGCCTCGGTATTAAATTTGAATGTCTACTATTAAATTTCATCTGGATCAATACCAGTTATTATGCTCTATGTATTAAGTTATTCCGTCAACAATAATTATAAACTTTGCTGTGTTATGGTTGAGATTTTTTATGGTTTTGGGTTTTAATTTATAATTTTCCACAATTGTCACATCTATTAAGGAAAAATATACACGAATAATGGGTGCGACAAACTAATTTCGCTATGGACATCAAAGCCCTTGCCTTCTTAATTAAATATTTTTTTTGTATTAATAGGCTCTGTTGCGTTATCAGTCGATGAGCTAATATGTGTACATAGGTACAAAATATTTTTAAGATAATATTCGTACTAAATGACAGTATGGTGTGTGCATATCACAGTACAACATGCAAGAATACGTGTGAGATATCGAGCCGCATCTGAAGTCGTACCGTCTCCGATGCAGTTTTTACACGGGTCGTATGCTTGCGCAATACAAGTCCGGGTGTAAATTAATATCGGCCATCTGATAAATGATGCCGAATAAGTGCAGGAGCAGTTATAGGTCTACTTACGACACTGTACATACATCTGGCAATGACAAAATGTTTTTAGGTGTGTCTTATCTTATTTTTTTTAAAAAACATTGCGTTTACTTTAGGGTAACATTATCCTTTGTTGTAATCACGTTATAAAAACATAAATTTCACGCGGAAAAACACCCAGATGCGAAATAATTATCTGTAGGTCACACAAATAGTTGTCCCGTGTGGGGTTCGAACCCACGCTCCCCGACGCCAAAGCCAGTACCTTGACAACTGCACTATGGAGTCATCAATACTATTATCATAAATATATATATATCGATACCTATAACAACAGTGAAGTGTCTCACTGTAGTCCCAGTGTTAGTGCTAAAATTTAAATTAAAACTGATATATATTCCATGTCTAATCATAAAAGACGGTTTTTATCTGTCTGTTATTTGTGCCTATCTAAATATGAAAGACAGTTTATTTAATTTATGTCGGTCTATATGTTTGAAATTTTCTCTATTTTTTTCGTGTTTCTTATATAATGGCATATAGGGAGCCAAGTGATTTTTGATTCGTGGTCAGATCTATTAATGCTGACGAATGAAGCACAGAAAAACAATCTACTGCAAATGTCGCCCTGTACCCAAACCAAAAACACTGTCCCTGTACTTAAGAAGTCATACGACCACTTACGATTAATTTTTTAAGAGATAAAGAATGATCCATCTCAAGTTATAATCTGTAGCGTTATTAGAAAAGGTGATATAATCATCATTGAAGAATAATCAGCTATAATGTAACGCTTTAAAAAAGTCAACTATATTATTGTAAAAGTAAAAAAAAAATCAGTAGCAGCCTTTTAAATGAACAAGCTCATTATTTATTTGTGTACTATGTATAAAAAAATAGGTTTTATATTGCATCATTAATTATTTAGTTATTTCATTTTGATTATTATGTATTGTTGTACATTGCCCCTTTTCGTTGAACTCTTTTCTTGCAACAAAATGTATGTAATTTTTTTGTAAGAAAAGACTTCAACGAGATCATTTTAAAAATAACTTCACAAGTTTTAACTTATTGACGTCTCATTGAAAATTATAGTAACACTATAGTATAGTGTTTTGCGCATTTTATTGGTCTTAGGATTGTCCGTGTGCCCTTTCCAATGTGCCGATCGAATAGTGTGGCACCCTAACGATGACAGTTTTTATTGTTCAAGTAATATATTTGTCCGCTGACTACTGTATAAGAATGGGTCAATAACACTTAAAAATTTTTAGCCTTTAAACTTAAAAGATCTTTTTATTTTTTTTTATTAATTTTGCACGCAATTTATCGTAAGTGTACTAGCATTCCTCAAGCTAGACGAAGATTTTTAACAGTAAAAAGTTGTTGTGGTGTCCGAAGTGAATAAGAACAGTTAAGTTAACATTTTACGCGACTTGACACAGAGATCTCTCTCTTTTGATTAAATCGACATCAATCAATTATATTGGCACGGCCAATTCAATTTGTAGCCAATTTAAATCGATGATTAGGAATTTATCAGTCAAAAACATCAATAGGCGATCACGCCGGCACCCGCTACCGGAACTGTGCTTCGTAAATCATCGCTAAGTTTATAGCATAAGCCGCGTAACCTGTTCAATAGTTGTATTCTCACCGGTCGCGAACCAAGCCCGGCGCTAAGCCGCTTAAGTTTAATAGACACATCGGCGTGTGACGCGGCCCAACACAAACTGGACGCGCCGCAGTATGTTTTACTCCGCGTTGTTTATGCTAATTCGGAAACGCTTGATGATAAACTGGGAATGCGAACGGTGGCTCTTTACGCGTTCCTTCGCGATGTTTCACCATAAATTAAAAAAAATACAAGAAGCTTTCGTTTAGTAGTAATGTCCACTTCTCGATGAGCTTCTCTATTTTCGAACGCAACAGTCAGGTGGTGAACCCTGCCGGTAAACAACGGACACGGATGCGAAACGACCCATCGATGCGTAGTGCCTGACATACTGAGACAGGAACCTCGAAACCTTACAATGCAAGTGCCAAACATCCGATGTACAAGTAAGACTATAAACAAGCACATGTTCACAGGAAACAAGTGATTCATAGATCGATCTTTAAGACCATCTGTCGCGTTTGCGATTTTATAAATACGTATACATAAAAAACTTAAAACCTTTAAAGTTTTAGTTGTCTCTTCTCATCGTCTACACTTATAGAGTTAAGAATCGAGGGGGTTTGTGAGAGACTTTTGATTTTTGTTGAATGAGGTGACTATATAAAGACTATATAAAACTTTATCGGGTACAGAAATGTTAAGTTTTCAGGACTTGAGATGTATGTATGTACATGAAACAAAATTATTATATGGACTGTCGGGGTCCATTTTACTCAGCTTGATGTCTTTTGCCGTCATTTGTATTATTCCTTGTTGCCGTTCGCATGTTTTTAACTAGCGTGCGTGTGTGTGTACTAATTACTTAGAAAACAATAAGTAAGTTGAATATTACAAATTATTAACATATTAATAATATAAAAACACGTGAAGGCCAACTATGAAATTCACAAAAATCTTATTATTCTAAGAGCGTTTCGGGTACCGATACTTTTGTGGTTCTTGTCTTTCTTATAAACAAGTTTCTACGTGACTGTTAACAATATTCAATCTGTTACATACTTACGTCATATATTTTTCATATAAATAATTTATCGATTAAAAACTGATTAATAAAATCTAACATTTAAATTATCGTCAAAAGCGACATGGCAGTGTTGAGATTGGGTAAAACA